TGTTATGATTTCGCCAAGAGAAGTAAAGCAAGTCAGGGCTGCTGGTTTCATCTTTAATGCTTAAGTTTCGCCAGCTAATGCATTCTGAGTGATCCTGCGTGATTATTAGTGGGGTTGTGGCAAGTGACCAAGCAAATAAATAAATGCAAATTTGTATAGTTATCGACAGGCGGTATACGACACTCAGAGGATAGAACCGTAATATGACAAGTTATGCGTTACGCATTTTCAAAATGGAGCTGTAGTGTAGAGGAATTTCGCGAGTAAGGCCACTAAAAGAGTCGGGAAGCACCGCTTATACCTAGAAAGTAACTGACTTGTGACACGCTATAGTGCCCCGAACGCGACAATCTGGATCGCGGTGTTGAAGAAGTATGTCAACTACTCACCAACCTTCAGGGCACCAAACCTGCTGGACCTGATGGGCTCCGCCCACTGATTCTCAAGTCACTTTCGGTCATCATCTCTCCTGTCGTGACTGAGCTTTTCAACAGGTCGCTGTCCGAAGCTTCGTTGCTGATTGACTGGAAATGTTCGGTGGTGAAGCCTATTCCGAAAGGCGGTGACCTAAGCAAAGTAGACAACTACAGGCTAATTAGTCTGACACCTATTTTGGCAAAGGTTGCTGGAAAAATCGTGAAGAAGCGGTTGCTGCACGCTGCAGTCAAAAGGGACCCTGAGGCTCACACAGCACGCTTTTATGCAAGGCCGCTCATGCATTACAAACATGCATGAGTGGTTGAAGGCAACAAGCAAGGATATCCACCGATTTCACTAAAACGTTCGACAAGGTCAGCCATGAGGTTCTCCCTCACAAACTTAGGATTTGGGGTGTCAGTGGCTCACTGCAACGGTGGATCCGCGACTTTCTTGTTGGACGAATGTGGTGAGTACATTTCGAAGATCATCTAACTGACTGATATCCCACTACGAGTAGCGTGCCTCAAGACCCTGTGCTCGGGCCCACTCTGTTCCTGATCCACATCAACGATTTACCTCAGCTTCTCCGGTCGCTGTGTGACTTGTTTGCGGACGACATGAAGATTTGGAGAGCAATTGAAGCTCCCGATGACTGTGGCCTACTACAGAAAGATCTCAACCACCTATCCACATGGTTTGCAGAAGTTTATCTCCCGGTCAACCCAGACAAGTCTGCATTTATGAGCCTGGGAAGGGTGCTGACGGACGAACCTACATCCTTGACAGCCAACCGATTTATCCCACACACGGTGTGAAGGAGCTAGGTGTACTCTCTCGTTACGATGTGAAGTCCGTGGACAACGCGAATAGGCTATATCGTAACGGACTGCGCATCCTTTGGACGCTCAAACGTAGCTTCGGCACTTGATCTGAAGAGGTTGCCATTCTCCTCTTTTCTTGCATCGTCAGACCAATGCTAGAGTACGGTTCGCCCGTCTACTTTCCGATTGCCCGACGCGAGGCACAAAAGATCGAACGGGTCCAACACGTTGCTACCAGGCTGATCCCGAGTTTACGTGGCTTGGTGTATGAAGACCGGTGAGAGAAACTAGGACTCTACACCTTGTCCTACCGTCGGGTACGAGTCGACCTCATTATGACCTACCGTATGCTACATCTCGGTGGCTTCCCAGTGCCCACAGCAACGAGGCTGGACCTTACCGTGGTGTGGTGGTTTGTGTGCCTCTGTGATCCACTGAGCTATGCTGGGTGGTGCACTTTGCACCTTCAAAGTCACTCATACCAGATTGGTCAATGGTTAGATGCCAGACAAACTCAGCCTCCTGGTCCTCCAGGTTGGGGGTTGGAATGAGGGTGGCACCTTATTCTTTAAAACGGACTCCTTGTAGCCCAACGCCAAACCCGCTGCCTTGCGGTCAGGTTTGTGAACCAAAGGCTTTGGTTAAGAACCCTAATGGTTCTCCTGTCTAGGCCTGGACAACCTGACAGTATTCTGCCCACGCAATACTATGAATCTCACTTCAAACAAATTTCTGATGCTCTGGCCACCGCAGAGGATAATCAACAGTGCCCTATCTGTTGCATCGAGCAGGGTGGATAGGGGTTTGGATGCTACTGCTCAAGCCTTCCCGCCTTCTTATTCCTCCTCTTACGCTTTTTCACCCTTATCGTCCCGTCCCAACTTTATTTATATCCCCCCTGTTTTCAACCACCCAATGCTGGGCCCTCCCCATCGTGCTTCAATACTCACATGTCTTTTAGTTTCAACTCATATGCGGACGCCGAGCGTCATTCCTGCACTGTCAACAGGCCCATGTCCAAACAAGTGGCCCATTCCAGTTCATCGGCTTCCATTTTGAGCCCTCGATCCTCCTTCAGATTGGCATGCCTCAATGATCGCACATTGCTTCAGATCGATCAACAGGCACCACTTGCCCGAACATTAAAGACCATCTCGATGGATATCTCCTGCTTATCGGAGACCCGCTTGCAAGACTCGAGCTCTGTACTCACTCTGCGATCCCTTTCAGGTGACACCAACAGCACTTTCTCACTACGCCTATCCGGTGACGATGCAGCTTCGAGCACCGGCCAAGCTGGTGTTGGTATTGCCCTGAGAACCCGGGCTGAAGCTACTCTGGTTGATTGGATTCCAATCAGTAGCCGGATGTGTGCGGTCCGATTGGCTGACTCGTTCAAACCTTCGAAGTCGCGTGGGACTAACAGGTGTCTATTCGTTATCGCTGCCTAAGCACCCACAAACTCTAGCGATGATTCGGTAAAAGACGACTTCTAGCGTCAACTGAACGGGCTCCTTAGCCACAGAAGAAGCTCGGACACTGTAGTGCTGGCCGGGGATCTGAACGCTTAAGTTGGAAAATTATCGACTGATGAACTGCATCTGGGCGGACAACATGGTATACGCTCCCGTAATGATAACGGTGAGCGGTTACTTCATTTGTGTGAGGATGCTCACTTATTTCTTGCGAGCACTAATTTCCGAAACAGCACCCGCCGGAGGGTGACTTGGCGCCCACCAACCTCGAACCAGCTATGGACGCAAATCGATCACAATGCGATAAGTTACCGATGGAGAAGCTGCGTCCAGAATTTTCGCTCGATTTGGAGCACAGGTGTGGACATCGACCATGCACTTGTATGTGCTGACCTGCGAATGCGCTTTGGCGGACACCCACAACGACGTTGTGAGCGCATTGACACCGTCCAACTGGCGAAACTAGCTGTTCTGAATGCATATCAAAGTACGCTGTCATGCGAGTTGGATAAACGCTCACTGGTCTCATATTCACCAGACGTTATTTGCAGCAGGAAAATCCTCATGTGGTATGTCTAATCGCCAACATGGACATTGGGTCTCTTCATAGTCTCTGGAACTTATCGATGCTTGCAGGCATATTCCAGGTGGAAGCGAACACAATGAAACTTCATTCCGATGTATGTTTCACGCTTCGGGGCTAGAGGCTTGGTCGTTTCTCTTAACCAATTTCATGATGGTGATAGTTATGTGCCGGCTTTTCACATAAAATGGATCTTCATTTAGCGGATCCGAATAATAGCTGGTAACCCCCGAAGGTGATTGTTGGTCAAGCATTATTTACAGACGATACTAATACGAACACTTCAAAAAGTCCAACAATATCCGTTATTGAACCAAAGTTTCCGTTCACTGATATTCAAACTGTGACATAACTTACCAAGTAAAGCGTTGTTCTACTTGAAATGGAACTAGATTCTGCTTCACCAGTTGCCATTGTACCTTACCAATTTTAAGAACGCTACTTATTCCAGCATACTTTATAGCTGCATTCGGTAGCTGCGGATGCTGCAGTTTACATTGTTTTAGACAACAGACGATGCTTACTTGGAAGAAACGCCATGGTGGCTTTGTAAGCAGTATCAGCTTTCGACCGCATGCATGTCTCTGCCGTCAATGTGACATACTGGCATGAACGTTATCCTAAACCTTGTCAGAAGTCCATCGGACGTATTCCATGTGGTGTACACCGCATTCAGCTGAAGCAGGATGCAAACTTGCTGTTACTTGTCAACCTGGGTTTATTCCGCTAGCAAAACGTCAAGCTGTCACATCGGCCCTGCAAGAGATGCTAACAAATGATTTGATTGAACCCATCGACTGTCCTAAGTGGGTGCATCCAACGGTAAGTGTCCTGAAAAAGATGGCACTGTCAGGAGTCATATCGATTTGCAGGGATTAAATAAGCAGATCATCGTCGAGCGGTTTGTGTTGTCTTCATAATACAACAACCAAATTACCACCGGCGGCGGCGGCGGCGAAAAGGATGAACCGTCAACCTAATGCTCCAAATGTCGCCGTTTCGAATTGGGTTGGGTGCTTGCGGCATCGCCGTAGTCCCAGCAAGTGCGCCACTTATGGTTTTCAAGTGGCAGCGAAACGTTGGTGGACGTAGTCCCAAGGATGCAAGGATATGGAGTAGACAAAAATCAGTAGCAAGCTGAGAGGAGGTCATTTTGAAGTACTTATTTTCTGAATAGATTGCAACACGCAATTTCCAGGGCGCATCCGATTCACTTCGAACTGAATCTTTGTTAGTAAGCCCATTGGAATCGCGGATGAATGTTATGGGTACGGGCTTCGACCGACATCTCAAAACTCCCGGGTTCCAGCCCCAGTGCTGCTATCTCCCTCTGATGAGTACAAATGAATACAAAACAGACTGTGGGATACAGTGTTTCCAGTGGGCAACATTTAACACTAATCGGTAGAAAAAAGGACCGAAATGGGTAAACGACTTTTACCGTAACACAGGACTGCAGATAAACCGCTCTATCGGTACAGCTCAAGCAAAACTGTTGCATCCGGTTCCTTGCTCCTAAACGTTTGGCTCATTACGCAGTGTATCGACACTCGTTTTCAGCTGCATTTGAAGAAAGTTTCAAGAATTTTCTTGAGTAATCTGCTTACCTATCGCGCCAAAAACTGACTGTATCTCACTGGAGTGCTTACGTCAGAAGAGACAGACTGTAATGGACAAACAAATACCATAGGAGCAGCTTACCCTCAAATTGTACGTGATAAAACCCAGCATCCCGGGCCACGGTAAGCAGCGCTGCATGGTCTGTTCGTTGATGCTCCGGAAGCCAGTGTCGAGCAAGCAGATCGACTAATCTGACACCAGTCCACAAAGCTGTGGATGTTGCACTGTGGTTCCAACTTAGGCCACGAATAAAAGGTTTACGTCCTTCGGCAACCGCATGTTCGCTATCCTCCGCTGCCATACCTGATCGCCGACATCCAGCGCAAATGATGGTAGAGACGATGGAATGTTTTGGATAGTTCGCTTTCAGCTCGTCAACGCACAATGAAATGTCGACCGGAGTACTACTGGGAGCGCTGGAGCTAGGTATAACAATGTGCAGACGATGAGCGCTAAAAATGTAAAGCAAACGTGTGCATCTGATTGCAGTGAATTTTTGATAGGTTATTCTTCAAGTGAGCAAAAATAACAAATTACAGTCCATCGAACATTCAAGAGGACAAAGCAAATTCCAAAAATATCTTCAAAAAGGGTCGCTGGCAGCTAAGATATCACTGTTAATATTTGAAGTATAAGGCTGTCCCTACAGGAAAAACTCTAGCAACACCAAGGAAAAAAGGAGGATTCTGTGCAGGTGCACCGAAGATCAAGGACTAGAGCCTATATATATATATATATATATATATATATATATATATATATATATATATATATATATATATATATATATATATATATATATATATATATATATATATATATATATATATATATATATATATATATTGCCCCATGCTGAGGCTGATGTTGCATTCTTGATGCTTCTTCACCGCAGTTGGGCTAAACCAACTTACACTTAAACTAGGTCTTTTTAAGCTGGCTAAATTTCATTCCGCTTTATTTGGTTTGTTCTGCCTCCCTGAATAATGTTCTAATAACTGGCCACGTTGCTTACACTAATTGCGCTTATCTTCGGTAATTTTGTTGCGTTTGTAGCATTTTAAGTAACTTGTGGACATTTCTTACTTATCACGGATTTGTTGCAAACCAAATTACTTCATATGGTAATTTAGCGAAGAGTTATGCCACCGTATCTGAATGCATTATTGGATTCATTTAATTTCAGCTTGTCGTTTAAAGTGAATGGCTGTTGTTTGATATCCCTGGTATAGTTGCGCTTGATGTGTATGTTGACAAGGTGCCTACCTGTCTATTACCCACTACCTCGTTCATACTGGCTCCAGGAGACAGTTGGTCGTTGCTGGAAGGGACGGGGTGCACGGTTCGTGTGGCCGTGCTAGGCTCGAAGAGCGGTTCCATGCACTCAGTGTGGAGCGGACTACGGTCCAGCCACCGCCTTGTGTGCGCTTGATTCCCCAAATACAGCGTCAACCATATATATATATATATATATATATATATATATATATATATATATATATATATATATGGTTGGCGGCATCCGGTTTCGGATTTGCCTGTCACTGTGGCAAGCCACAGGACGCCTGCGCCTACAGAGGGACCATGGATGGCTTGCGCTGCATCACCTACAGCTCCAACCACATACCCCATATCCAGTGTAAACCCGAAGGAATAAGACCGGGAGGCATGCGGATGGGAACCACGCTTCATCAACGGAGCCGGCCCACACTCCTTCACAGGCAAACACAAGCACACTGTATTTGGGAATCAAGTGCACACAAGGCTGTGGCTGGACCGTAGTCCGCTCCACACTGAGTGCATGGAACCACTGCTCGAGCCTAGCACGGCCACAAGAACCGTGCACCCGTCCCCTCCAGCAACGACCAACTGTCTCCTGGAGGCAGTATGAACGATGTAGTGGGTAATAGACAGGTAGGCACCTTGTCAACATGCACATCAAGCGCAAACACACCGGGGATATCAAACAACAGCCAATCACTTGAGAGAGAGATACAAAGAAAATAACTCAATTAATGCATAAAGAAACGGGGACGTAAATCTTAAGTTAATGAGCATATGAAATAAGTTGTTTACAAAAGAATCCTATATATATATATGTGTGTGTGTGTTTTTGTACTCTCTCGATCTCTCTGCCGGACATACTACTGCGGTCTCCTTCGTATGCCTAGTCATGATATACACTTGGTCCAGCGCAGTGTTATGCCTGAGGTGCTCTCAATGGCCGAGAATGATGCAGAATTACTACGACGCTCAAACGCAGTGTTCCATGCATCCTGATGGATTGGTGGTGCGAATCAAATCAAATTTATGCCAACATGCGTGGACCCACAAGGATACCAGTAGTGAGCCAGCCGGAAAGGAGGTAACATTTGAGATTGACGGTAAATTGTCGTTTATTGCGCACTTACTATTCGACATGCAAATGCTCGTAACGTGGAAACTTTGGCTGTTATTCTTACCTACAAATGGAAATGTCACACGTTCACCTTATTGGGGTTTTTAAGAATAAATATTCTCCCATTGGGATGGTGATGTATGATGCACAACTGTTAGCCCACCTGAGTCCAGTGCATTGGTGCGAACCTTCCGCAGTTGTTAACGTTCAGATTGACTACAACCTCAATAACCAGACGCATGAATACCGGTTACCATGCACTCTAGGAGTTTTCCTTCCTAGGTGGTGTCAGTATCCCCACACAGTGACTGGAGCTCAAATACATGGGAACACGTTCATTCTTCTCGAACGACGGTGCTTTGCAATCTCAATCACCAGGGCCACACAATCCACGCAGAGTACCAATCTTTTTTGGGAGTGACCTCGAGTAGTCATCAAGCGTCCATGTGAGTGTTGCTCATTTGCAATGTCCGCAACACATAGGCCCAGTTGAAAGGCCACAAACGTGTGTGGGTGTGTGTATGAGTGTGTGTGTTGGATGCAAAGGCACACTAATAAATCCCTTAGATTGGTCGCCCGTTCTCAAGCATACCTATCTTAAAGGCCGGCGGTAATGGTGACGTCGTTAGAGTACATGGGTCGCGTTAACTCCTGGGTACCAAGCGGTTGCTGCTCATAATATTCCACACTCGTTCGAACATTGGATTGAACGATTGGGTGTAGTGATCAACAATTATCCCTGGAATTCATGTACTCTACAACCCTACCTCGCTTTGGAATATAGTTTGGAAAATCGGTGTTCAAGACGCAACAACTTTTGTTGCAAGTGTCTACACGTTGGCTCGTCCGTGTAAGCTGAATCATCCCGGCAAGTCACTGACTAGCGATTAACATGCTGATGTTGATGCTACATGTTCTGTTTCATATATTAGTCACAATAATGACTGTAGCTATATTTCCAGCTGAACATCGCTCATACTGAAGTTAGGATAAGTCAGCTATTATCAAGATAAGGTGCGGAAGAGCAAACGTTCCTTCGACAATTTAAATTAGAAATGACCAATCATGTAGATTGACTTAAAAGTAGCTTAGTCCAACTATGGTGTTACGGTAGTGTGTAAATAAATATTTAATTGGAAAATAAATTCAGCACAACAACAATTGATTTGTTGCAAAGAATAGCTGCAACTCAGATGTATGCTGACCGTTTGTTAGTAAATTGTAAGTGGTAAAATTATGATGAGAAATCCAGTTCGCATGGGAATATCATACGTTCAGTTAACCACCTTATCTGCGCCATTTGCCGAGGGCTCCTGATACCCATTATTTGTCTACCCTCATAAGATTAACTATGCAACGCTCACTGTTTTCATTGCAAATCACACCATGGGTACGGAGATTTACTGGTTCATTGCTTTCTCAGCCATGTCTAAGTGGTTCCATACCAAATCCCGTTGTGAAGATAACATCATGCCCAGGTGTGCCACGACATACTCATTTGAGGTATTAGATAATTAAATGTTGTGCAAGGTACTTCCTGTAAGTTTGCTAAACCAGTCTGCACACTCTTTCAAAAGCCGATGATAGAACAGGGAGCAGCGGACTTTGCCACATGTGCATTTAGTACATTTAGTTATGTATCATTCTACCTGGTAACCATACTCACGGCATTTGCTTCCGTATTTCCATATCTGTCTCAAGCTATTGTTGATACCCACACTTCTGACTAAATTTAAGGCTGTCGTTTCGGTTCTCATCGAAGCGCTAACTAACCACTGACAGTTGTATTAGTTACTTATAATTCTACGTGCGATTTTCTAAAACTAGAGCAATATGGCTGTTCTTTCATTCAATCCAAACTCATGCACGTACGTTGTGCTACGGTTCATGACGGTCATTATTTCTTCCTCCAGTTTGTGGTAGTCCATACACAAGTGTGAACAAATGCCCGTTCGTAACACTGCAGTACTGTAACTCGAACCAAGGACCTTTGATGTGTCAACTGATATCTCACGTTGAATGACTAAGTGGAAGCCATTTAAAAACACTTATAAGCACCACACTTCAGCCTGACAGACATGTCATTTTCACTCGCGTAACACCATTATCTGCTGGCTCGATGTCTAAATGGGACTCGCCTAAAGTACAAATCCCGCTAACACCTGTTCGTGTTTCGATACATTCCCACTTGACAGATGGATGTTATTACATTTCTTCTCGTGTGACATCGTGACTTAGTAGGGGTTGCAATATGAAGTCAATGTATCCCATTGTACTGCTGCCGCCTTCAGGTAAACGCACTGAGATTCAGACAAGTCATCTAGGTTGATTCAGGGAGCAGCGGCAATACGTTGTAACATCCGAATCGAAATGCATGGGCATAGCTAGTATTCTAGACACTGATGAATTGGTCGAGATATGTTAGCGGTCCGAACGAATGACCAGGGGGAAATAAATAGTAACACATGACGGACTGCTTGGTGGTTCTACCTCCCTGTTGATTCTCGCTTACCTCGGACAACAGACGATTAGAATCGGCTCTGGTTTTACCTTACGACACGGATAGCCTGCAGTGGACATAATCGCACCATTTCCCTGCTAACTTGAAAAGTTGCTTACGCCATCTCCGTCATTCATTTTGGTGTCATCGTTATTCTATATACCACATGTAAGTCGGGCTTGGGTGCAGTTTCATTCTAGAATGATTAACTACCGACTTGGTGCAATGTGGTATCTTTATTGCATCTGCATAGACCGGATAAGCCACAGGTAACCTAACGTTCTTAGGCTTATTTAACTCGGTTGTATTTCGCAATGACTTCACATGTTGCTCATTACGATATTGTACTCATCATGAGCTATGCTATGCTATTCTTGCTACCTCCTCAAGCGGCGTCTAGTATGGTTACATACCGAGAGTGAGCTATGACATCTTCATTTTCGTATTATTATTCGGCCGCGATTCATATCACTATGTAGGCTCCATGGTATTGCTCACCATAACTGTAGCTTGACTAGCTGCTCAATGCTAAATTGCATGATGTTTAGAGAGCC